GCTCTGAGCAGTTATGCCATATGTTCTCTTAGTTTGCATGAATTCCTTTGTTAATATATATTTGAAAGCAATAAATGCATATAGTTTTTATTGTCCTTAATTCATAATGCCCTGGGACTCCTGAATCAAAGAAGGGCCTGGGGTCAGCTTGAGGCAACAGCAGAGTGAGGGTACTTATGAATGGGGACAGATGGCAAAGGGCATGACCACAGAAGTGGGTTGGGGAAAGAAATAATGCAAATTATCATATGCACATACGAATATGTCACAATGAACCCTGCTATTGTGTGTAATTATAGTGAACCGATAAAAGCATAAGACAATAATCTTTACAAAGATAATTAAAAGTGATTCTTTTTGAAAAATAAATCAATAGTCTCCTGGGACCAACATGGGCACCAGGGCAGATCCCTTGGGTGCATGGACAGAGCCAGACTTCATACCTATTTCCTCCTCACAAGTGAAACCAAAGAGGAGTAAGAATGGGGTGTGAAGCTCAGCCTCCCCCACACCAGAAACACAAGCGTTTTCTCACATCACCTGTTCTTAAAGTGCATCGCCCAGAGTAGCAACAGCATCACCTGAGAATTTATTAGCAATGCAAATTCTTGGCCCTACCTTGGATGTGCAGAACCAGAGTCTGCGGTTGGGACCCAGCAATTTGTGTTTTAACAAGCTCTCCAGGTGATTCTGACGCATGCTAAAATTGGACCACAGACTGATGCTCAGCTATCATCTTGGATGTAAAAAGTATAGGAAAAAGATATCTAAAAATATCAAACACTTACTTCAAAGAAATCAAAGACTAAAATATCCTTCAAGCAAGATCAAGTCTCCCATGATCCCCATTCTCAGGTTCTCAATATAATCAGAGTTCATAAGAAATTTTAGTTAGCTTGCAAAGATATAGAGAAATCTACAATTTCATCTGTCTGAAATTGTAGCAGGTAAATCTTTACCTCCCCACTATAATTTCCCAGTCATATTTACTATGAATTGATTAAAAGTTTGTGTTTTTCCTGTGTTTGTGTTTTTCTCAACAAAGCTGTCAATAGTCATTGCCCAGGATTGGTCTTTTTTACAACCAAGTCTACTTCGATGTTTGGCTTTGATCACTCTAGTATTAGGAGGACCACTTATAGAAGACACAAGCAGGTAAATAGACCCAAAGGTCCTTAGGATCAAGATGGCAGCTTTAAAATGTTCTGTTTTGGGAAAGGGAGCTGCCTGTCAATTTCCTGTGAATCCTAAGAGCCTTTGTGGATCCTAAGTGCCTTGTCCTTTGTAGATGCTCATTACAGATTTGATGAAATTAATGACAAATACATGTAGATTTAAACAGCATGGAAATGTCTTGTGGGAAAGATGACACATGAGTTGGACCTTGAAAATTGGCAGAAAATGATGTTGGAGATTGAAGGCATTTAGCAGGAGGAGAAAAATGTGTATCATGAGAGGAGCCAAAGTTTGGAGTCATCTAAATGTGGAGTGTTTGGTATTGAGTGTCATAGTCTATTCAGACTATTATTACAAAATGCCACAAAAACTGATTGGCTTATAAACAACAGGAATTTATTTCTCTCAGTTCTGGAGGCTGGAAAGTCCAAGAATAAGGCTCTAGCAGACTCTATGTCTAGTAAAGGCCACCTTCTGCTTCTCAGACACCACCCTCTTCACAGAGTGGAAGGGGCAAATAAGCCTCTTCAGGCCCCTTTTATAATGGCATCAGTCCCATCTACAAGGGACCCACCCTCATGACCTAGTTACCTCCAGTCCCCATCACCTTAGGGACTGGGATTTCAACATATGAATTGGGGTGGTGGAGGGACAGGGCACAAACATTCAGACCACAGCACTGAATCTGGAGAGAAAACTCTGTCCATGGGGGATCGTGATGAGCACCCACATAATTATATGAGATATATATATATAGTTAAATGGGGTAGCAATTTACATAAGTCCTAATCCTTTGATTTATTCACCTACTATGCTAGGCGTGGGGCAAATTGTGGAGGACAGGACAGACATGGCACCTAAGTCCAGGGAAGAACAGAAGATGAGCCGTGACAGACGCACGATAAATGCTTTGATAAGTGAAGGACCAGAATACTTGGGTAGTTCACTTGAGAAGGAAGGTGGGCCCATACAGCTTCCCCAGATGAAAAGATGTCTGAGTTGTGAGCTGAAAACAATGAGTAGGAGTGAGCCAGTCACTGAGGTCTGGGGGGAAGGGGTGCGAAGGAGCAAGGGATGGAGCTGGATGGGCAAATGTGGGTCAGTGTATGCAGGGACTTGTAAGTCACATTAGGTCTGAGCCTTATCCATAAGGACATGAGGAATCTTAGGAGGTTTTAAGCAGGGGGAAGAACAAACTTTGGATAACCTCACTCAGGCTGCAGAACAGAGGATAGCTGAAAGACAGATGCCTGATAGCAGTGGTCTTAATTAGCGAAGTAGTAATAAGAAAGGAGAAAAGTATAGAGTTGTTGGAAAAAAAAGAAAATCAGTAATAGTCCATAAATTCATTGACATTCCTACTACTGTGACAGGTGGGGTGTCCACCCCTGCCTTGAATTTGGGTGGACATATGACTTTAGTGGAAGTAATCCCATGACTTCTGATGCCAGGTCATAAAAGGACAACAGCTTCTGCCTGATCCTCTGGGGACACTCATTCCTGGAACCTGGCCACCATGCTCTAAGAAAGCTATGCGTAGGAGTTCTAGCCCCAGCCCCAGGTGAGGTCCCAACATCAACTGCCACAAGTACAGAGTGAGGAATCTTCAAGCTGACTCCAGTCTCAGTCATAATCTGATGATGACTTTACTCACATAAAACCCTGAGCAAGAAGCACCTGGTTGACCCCAGTTAATTCCTAGGATAATGAGAATACTAAAGTGATTGGTGTTCAAAGCCACAGTTTTGGAGTGCTTCTGACAGTGATACCCAGAACACTATCCCTAATATCACTCCAATTAAGCTCCTGTGTTAGTGCAGGAATGTTCAGGGGTGAGATGATTGGATTATGGGAGCTATGATTTAATTCGTCTTAGTTTGAATGGACTGGAGATAACTGTAGGCAGGTGAGTTGTGGCTGCAGGAGGTAGGTCACCATGGGTGTGCCCTGGAGAGGTATATCTTCTTGCAGACCTTTCCTCCTCCTTGCTGACATCAGCTGAGCAGCTTTTCTCAGCTGGGCCCTTCCCGGAGATGGACTGCCTTACCTTGGTCTCAGAGCAATGGAGTTGGCTGTCTATGGACTGAGACGTCTGAAATCATAAGCCTCCTCTAAGCTATTCTTATTGGATGTTTTGATCACAACTAAAACTAGGAGATATCTTTTTGTTTCTTTCTCATATCTCTACTGGTTACCATCCTGAGGTTTGGATTCTGGGGCAAGACATCAACAGGAAGTAAAACAGTCTACACAGGTATCCGAGTTGAGGAATAAGATGTTCTGTCCAATCAAATATTCTCATGAACAGAAGTGGATGATTGAGGAAAATTAGTGATTGCAAAGAAACATCGTTTTTGTTTTCAAAGAAATGAACAAATTTTAAAAAATGAAGTACCCATCATAACTTATATTGAACACTTTTTCTTTGATGGTTCACCTTTTATCTTGAGGTGAACATTATAACATACTTAGCTCTGTACTAAACTTCTGGGAACAGGTGAAATGGTCCAATTTCTGCAGACAGCGAAGCACCAGCTACCCTCTTCAAGGGGAATAGCAGGGATTGGGAAGGTTGCTATTTTTTGCTCACAAAATAGCTTTTTTCTTCTTTTTGCTAATGAATGGTCATTAGCTAATGACCAGTGCCACACTCACCCAGGGCTTACAGCTGTCTAAAGGTTCTTTGTGAATGTTAGACAAGATCCAAGATAAGTTGGGGGAACAGGAAATATGCCTTGTTGTTCCCTCAGACTTCAAGAAATTCAAATGCTTTTTTTTTTTCCTTTTAAACACCACACACACACAGAAGCCATTAAGCATCTATGAAGATAATTAATCCCTTATATGGGGCTGCCTAATGTTTCATAGAGCACAAGTAAAAGGGATTCTTTGGATAGTTCTGAGGAGAAACAACTAAATTTGTTTATGTAATTCTTCAACTAGGGGCAAGCGTTGTGCATGCTGCTTAAGAAGGTGGTATCAACAGTGGCTATTTGTGGAGCACTTACTGTGTCTGGCACTGTCTGCAGGCTTCATATTCAGCATCCCGGTTCATCCTCAAAAACCCGAGGAGCTTGGCATTATTGCAGTTTACCAGAGGCAAGCTCCTGGCCATGCAGTAAGTCACAGGAGCCCTTAGCATCCTATCCCTTAAAGGACTCTCCTCTTTGAAGACTTACAATGTGGTATGGTGGGAAGGATTCTAGACTATAAATCTAGCTTTGATTCTCAGCTACACCACAAACTAGTAATGCCAAATTTGACAAGTCATCAACCTAAAAAATGAAGGAGTTTAATTAGGAGACTCAGAAGATTCCTCCTTCTCTAAAATGTCTGATTCAATGGTCAATTCTTGCCTGAGAATAACACTAAAGCAGTGTTTTGGAAGTAGCAGGAAAGAAAGTCTGCAGTACTCTTAGAGTCCGCTGCTGGGCCCACCCTTTCTGTGGACCTTCAGAAACAAAAGGCACGACTGATGCGGGGCTGCTGTGTATCCTGCACATCAGTGGCCAGTATGTAAAATTCATCCTAAGTATGTAAAAATGCTGACCTGCTCTCACCACACATTTTTTTTTTTTTTAAATAGGGGGCAAGCAAAGGCTTCCAAGGAAAGAAAGAAATCATTAACAAATGAGATAAACTAGAGGACCAAATATTTATGATCCACAAAGAAAACTCATTATCATTTACACTGGCATTGATTTTGAAAAGTATGTGGCTCACCCCTGACCAAAACAGTAACCATTTAAATTTGGCTTATCTGTCCTGAAACTAAATTCTGGTCTTGTTTGTGCTGCTGACAAAATGAACACAATCACAAGAAGTTTACTTAGGTGTGTTTTTATTTCTCTTAATTTTGAGAAAATATGACTCTACTGAACTTAAATGAAAATTTCAAATTATTATACAACCACATGTAAGGACTATTTGGAGATGCTAAAATGAGCCTCACGTACCTTTTCAGGGTCAAAGAGCTAAAATGATGGCAGGACACTATGAAAATCCATGTTTTCCAATATGGTAGGATAGGGGTTTAGATCTCTTAAATTCAGCAAGGGTATAATTTGCAAGCAACTATTCCCTGAAAAAAATTAGTCCGAATTGACCACATTTAGTGAAGGCCAATTTTTAGGGTGCTTGTCGGGGTCCCTGGTGAGTATGGCCACGTTCTTCCCTCAGCAGCTCGCACAGGGGAAGTCTCCTTTCTGAGGTTGTGGAGCTTTCTCTGTCTGATCTGGGTCTTCACAGTGGCACAACATAATAATTTCTCTGATCATCATGTCAGCACTCAATGAACTCAGGACTTAGGGAGAAGACTTGGTGTTAGCACAGCGTCAACCAAAGTTAGATGCCTGACATCTCAGAAAAGCCAACCGTTCACTTGAAGCAGGCCCCTTAGACCTGAAGAAGTCTGAAAATGAGGTTACTCAGCCAACAGGGACTGGCTGAGGGGCTGGAAGGTCCGACGGCTGATTGTCCTCTTGTTTAATAGCAATGTATGGGACTTCTTGTCCCTGGGGGTACGGCAGAGCAGAGTATCCAGTGAATAAGTGGTGATCTGGCCATTTATGTGCAATTTCCCATAGATCTCGTCAAATTTGGCCAGAAGGTTGGGTGCATCATCCTTCACTTTTTCCCTCACCTTGACCAACTGGAAGAAAGAGCACATCATTACATCTCTACAAGATTTCTTCCTTATTCTTTTTATTCTCTAAGAAACAAGAAACAGACCTGAGTAAAAATGTAAAGTGCACAATTAAAGTGATAAAAACCAGGGTTCTGGGGCACAAAGAGGCATGACTGACTGTAAGAGAGTTCACCAGCTACATGCAAAATTCAGAATTCATACTTGAAAACCACAGTTTCCTATAAAAGAGTGTTCAAATGGCATGTATTAAACAGTGTTACACATCAGGGAAGGACATCAAATATCAATGGAATTAACTTTGTTCAGTGTAATGATTAGAGCGGGATGAAGGGTCACACCACATCAGGCTTTACATACAGTCCATAGTAACTGTTTGAATTTAGCTTAAAAGCACATCAGACGGTCTAAATGGGACATGATCTGATTTAGGTTTAAAAAGCTGTTCAGAGAATGAATGGGAGGGTACAGGAACATGAAGATAATAGTGGAGGCCACTACAGCAGTCCAGAGAAGAAAGGATGGTGGTTTAGAATAGAGAAAAGATGAAGAAGTCAATATATGTAAAATATATTTTGGAGAGTGAATTTTGGAGGGGAAAATCAAGGTCTGTTTTGGATATGACTGAGACACATGTGATACACCCATGTGGACTTGGGGAGAGGCAGTTAATATACAGGTCTGGGGTGTAGAGGAGAGGTCTAGGCCAGAGGTATAAACAACAAGTATATAGCATTTAATTTTATAAATAATAGTGAGCTCAAGGTTAGTACCTGAAGCTACTTTCTGAACAAAATCAACATTGTGCCTAGTTTAATTCTTATCAAGATACAGCTTAGGTACATTTCTCAGTAAGTTCAAGATTCCTAACAAATCTAAGTGAGTTCAAGATTCCTAACAAATCCTTTGGTCATCTTCTAAATAAAGCATTTTATTTGCCAGCTGCACATTTCTCCAGCCAAACCTTCAGACAAGCAGCCTAAGGTCTTCATAATGGTTCTTGAAAAGAATAGCTTGTTTAGTCCTCACGTTCAAGGTGAACTGATTTAATGTGCAGCATATGGCTTCTAAAAGGAGCAAACACGCCAAGCTGGAGGGAACTGTGTGTTAACTGCATACACTACATCGGTTGTATCACCACAGAAATATTAAATGGCATCATGAGTCCCATGCTAAAATTTACGCAGAAAAGAGATTTTATTAATTTCATTTAAAAAAAGAAATCAACAAAAAAAAATAGCTAATGCTTGAGTCTTTTCGTAACAGCACTGCAGAAAATCAACAATTCTTTTTAATACTTCTGGTGCAATAATAGCAACTTAAGTTTAGTCTTATTGCCACATTTTTTCCCCCCCGATGGTGCTGGGGACTGAACCCAGGGCCTTGTGCATGCCAGGCAAGTACTCTACCAACTGAGCTATATCCCCAGCCCCTTCACACATTTTTAATGTGTATAAATATTAAATACAGCATTTTAAAAATACAATTGACAATATTACACTCCATATACAATCCCTCATACATGTGTTTAGAACTAACTCAAAATCTACTGGACTTGTTATAAATCAATTCATTTCTCATCAAGCAGATCCCTGAGCGGTCTCATAGTAACCAGGGGTAATACACTGAACTAGAGATTAGTTTTCAAAGTAAAAAAGTCTTATATCATATATTTTTCCATGTAGGGTTTGTTTGGATGCTCCAGTCATGTAAATGGGTGACTGTAGGTCTAAGGAAGGACTAACATCAATGCTGTTGAGAAAACTGATTTGTATCAGTGTTATGCAATCATGTATGCATATGTGCTTGTGAATGCATGTATGTACACTTACATACATACACACATGATGGTACACAAAATTTGTTCATATTTCCAGTTCCTCTATTTTTAAAATTTATTCCAGAATGGCTCGGGTGGGCCACAACCTACAGAGCTGGGACCTCAAATACAAAGAAGCTTTAAGTTAACCATATCCAGTTAGTTTCCTGACACTTCCTTTGCCGGCAGGAAGAAGTCTTTGGGCAGAAGTGAGGAATAAGTGGAAAAGGGCTGGGAGGGCAACAGTTTGACAAGGGAGAAAGCAGCCACCTGCCACTTTGGCCATCAGCCTGGGCCAGGACTATTCAGGCAGAGGAAGGAGGAAGAAACAGGGAATAGGGCAGACCAACTAATAGACCACGCTGTTAGTCAAAATAATAATGCCAGTATTATTACTGACAATACAACCATTGTCAATAATTCATGTTCTCTTTATAGTTCTCCTCTCCCTTATGTTACATGGCATTAGAGATGTACAAATGACTACATTTCAAATGACCAGCAATAATTCCTCTTTGCATACTTAAGCCTACAATATGGCACAGGGGTTGGTTTCATTTTGCTTTCAATTCCTAGGAATTTCTTTTCCTCTTCATTTTTATTTAACTTTGTTTCTGAATTTTGCAAAGCACTTACTTTGTTCCAAAATCAAACATACAAGGCTCTGGTTGTAGCTCAGTGGTAGAGCTAGAGCGCTTTGTATGAGGCACTGGGTTTGATCCTTAGCACCACATAAAAATAAATAAATAAAATGAAGGTATGGTGTCCATCTACAACTAGTTTTTAAAAAGTCAAATATACAAACAAGGTACATTCAGAAAAGTCACAGTTCTCTCACTTTTTCACAACTGTTTTGATTAAGCTTTGGTTTTTCCATCTGTTGTTTTTCAAAACTCTCAACCTATATAAATATACAGTTATGTGTCACTTAATGATGGGAATATGTTCTGAGAAATGTGTTGTCAGGCAACTTATGTGAACATAAGTGTACTCAGACAAACAAAGATTACCATGTATGTTACTAGGCAATAGAGAGCCCTCCATGCTCCCACCCCTGTATTGGCAGTTAAATCCAGGGCCTCGCATGTGCTGGCCAAGAGCTTAACCACTGAGCTACATCCTCAGCCCTTTTTATTTTGAAAAATGGTCTAAGTTGCTGAGGTTGGCCCTGAACTTCCAATTCTCCTGCCTCAGCCTTCCAGGTAGCTAGGATTACAGGTATGTACCACTGCACTTGTCTAAGCAATATAATCTTACGAGAGTGCCATCACATAAGCAGTCAGTCACTGATCAAAATGTCATTACGTACTGCCTGCCTGTATGAACACACACACACACACACACACACACACACACACACACACACACACACACTCCCTTCTTAGAGCACACCACACTGATTTGTATCTTGCTTTTTTTACTTAGTAATATATATCCAAGTGGTCCATATATGTAGTGATCCACAGAATTACATGTTGTAGTTATTCCTCATTTCTTTTAGAGTTGCATAGCAGTGCTTCATATAAATACAACCTAATTTGTTCAATTAGTTCTCTAAGACAGAAACTGGGTTATTTCCAGTCTCGTTATTACAAAGAGCAACAAATAGCCTTCTACATACAGCTTCTTACATTTTTGTCAGTTTATGTATTCTAAGAAGTGGGAGGCTCGAGTCAAAGGGTAAATTCACTTATAATTCTACTACATATTGCTGAATGTCTCTCCACAAGGACTATACCAATTGCATTCCCTCCACCCTCATGAGATGATGATTCCTGTTTCCTCAGAGCCTTATTGCTATGGTTTGATGTGGTTTATCCCCCAAAAGATCATTTGTTAAAAGCTTGGTCCCCTGTGTGGCGTGGTTAAGAAGTAGTGGACCTTTAAGAGGTGAAGCTTAGTGGGAGGTCACTGTGGTCTCTGCCCTTGGAAGAGATTCTATGGGACCCTGAGTTGGTTCTTGTAAGAGGATTGGTATAAAAGAGTAAGCATGCCCCTCTCCTACTCTGGTTTCTCATCATAGCATGTGACTTCTCCTCCAGTAGGAGTTTCCACCATGATGCCATCTACCATGAGGTAACACAGCCAAGGAGGCCCTTGTCAGAGCCTGTGCCACAGTATTTGAACTTTCAACCTCCAAAATTGTAAACTAAGTAAACCCTTTTTCTTTGTAAGCAAAGAAATAGCAGCCTGAGGTATTTCATTACAGTAATGGAAAATGGACATTCAAAGAATAAGATGTCAAACTTTCAGATTTCTACTCATCTAAGGTATAAGTAAAACCACAGGTAAGTTTTATTTTGCATTTCCTTTAATATGAGTAAGGTTAAGAATCTTTCCAAATATTTAAAGGTCATTCATAATTCTTTTAAGTGAATTCTGTGCCTATCTCTTACCCATTTTTCTTTAGGGTTGTTGGTCCTTTTCTTACAATGTTTAAAATGTGTTCTTTATATATTAAGGTTAGTTAGCTCTCTGTATAATTAAAGTTTGAAAGCTTTTCCTTCCAACTTGTTTACCTTTTGACTTTGTTATGGTGTCTCTGCCATACCGAAAAGCAAAACAAAAAAAATTTTATGCAAATTTATCAATCTTTTCTTTTTTGATACTAAGGATTGAACCCAGGGTGTAGGGACACTTAACCACTGAGCTATATCCCCCGAGTTTGTTTTGTTTTGTTTTGAGATAAGGTTCTTCCTAAGTTGCTGAAGCTGACCTTGAACTCCTCCTGTCTCAGACTCTGGAGTGCTGGGATTACAGGCATGCGCCACCATACCCAGCTCAATCATTTCTTTTATTGATTTGGATTTTGACTAAGAAAGAAAATTTTCCACTGTCAGGATATAAAGTAATTCACTAATGGTTATACTTAGTGACTGCATTATTTCATTTTGAAATTTTCATATCTTATCCATTTGGAATTTATCTTGGCTTGCGGTACAAGAACAAATAAAATTTTTGTATTCCACTGGCTCTCTACTTTTTCTAGTACCACTTCTTAGAAATGTCTATCTATTCTCATTTATATGAGCACTGGCTTTTGTCTTCATCTAAGTATCCCTGGACTTGCAATGCTATCTCATTAGCTCACCCATTCATGTGCTATTGCCATGGTTTGCATTATAGAAGCTTTAATATGCTTGAGTATCTGCTCAGCCTTGTATTTATTATTGCTCTTTTTCATAGGGTTTTCTTAGCTATTCTTTCTTGGTTGTAATTGCATCTAAAACTACAGAAAGAAACACAGTGAAATCTTTATTGGGATCATATTATCTCATCACATTAACTTGGGGAGAACTGACTTTATGAGGCTGAATCTTCCTACCTACATGGTAGGACAAATTTTTAGGATGAAAGATACTATACCCTATTGTTTGCTATTAGGAATGACCGTGGGAAAGGAGATGTTGTGAAGCTCAAAAGAATAAGACAATTTCTAGGCTGATACCCTGGGGAGGGGGCAGAGAGTACACCATGCAAGGCTGGATTAAGAAATGCGTGCAGTCACCATGGGAATATAGAGAAAGGAGCCAGAGGCTGTCTATGGGGCAGTCATTCTTTTCTGATGATTTCTATTTTCTCCATAAAACAGGAAGCAAGGTCATTAACTGAGCATAAGACAAGAGGAGAAAAGTATTGGAAGCTTTAGGGGAAAGGAAAAAGGTGTAAAATTGTCATCCATGTGTAAAAGAAACAAAGCTCATGAAAACTGTGCACAGAAAAGAGAAACATAAACAAAGATGTTTTCCTAGACTATTAGAAGACATATTCTGTCGGAAGAAAACAAATCTTCGTATGCAAACAAAAGCTTTACAAGAAGAATGACGGAGCTTCCATGTTTGACATCTCTTTAAGGAGATGAGTTAAAGAATTAAGAAATCAGGTGAATATTTTTAAGAGTGCGTTTTCACTTTTAAATGATTTTTGCAGCACTTGCACACTCACCACTTCCTCTGAGAACACACGTTTTTTCACAAATATTGATAAATTTCCTTCTGCAGCATTCGTTAGTATATCTATCAGGGTTTCCACCATATTTGACTGGATATGGATAATAATCTGAATAAAAAAAGAAACAAGCAGGCAAAAACAAGCATGAGCCAGTATTTCAATGGTGGGAAACGCACCTAGCTACATAAGTTTGCATCAATAGGCACACGCCATGTTTTGATGCTAATTCCTAATACATTCAATCACTTGTGCAGGTTCAAAACAGTGCTTATGTTGTAACATGAGAAATTGAGACTGGACATTTAGAAGAGATTTCTGGGTTATAATTTTTGAACAAAAAAACTATCTTTAAGTCAGTGACCCAGTTCATGAAGAGGATGATTCATATTCAGCATCAATTCAAGGTTCCTTACATGGTCCTTGCCTAAAGGATAACCCTCCCACCACATGCACTAGCTGACTTTCCAGTTCAGAGAAAAGGAGCCCATCCTCCTACCCTGGCACAGAGCACATGCTCTGCCTACCATGCTCTGCATTTCTCCTCCTACTGGGCGTAGACAGCCTCTGGTATCTTTTTTGGACACCACTGTTGTCCACAACTAGTAGGAAGTGGAGAAGTAAAAACAAAACAAACAAACGATATTACTAGAGTTGATTAACAGCTGTGAGAGACAGGGAAGGACAGAGAGCTGAAGAGTCTAAATCTGCGAAGTGGGCTACATGCACTGGCAGTGGATCATGTTTTTTGACATCTAATCCTATGTTCTGTTCATTACCACTCAGGAGGAGTGGCCAGCTCCAGTCCTGGATGGGAGAGGCACAACCCTCCTCATCTTTGTAGGTCTGGAGAGGAGAAACCTGGGGCCTCACTGTCAGGTGTCTGAGTTAAAACCCTGACTCATATAATCTGCTGTGAGAACTTGGGTAACTGAACTTACCCTTTGACTCTTCATTTCCCTATCTATACTATGGAGGAATACTGTTTTGATAGGCCTCTATAAAATGAGCTAATGAAGGTAAAGTGCCTACTGTACCTTAGCTAAAATTAAATTAAAACCTGCCCATCTCACTATCTTTGATTTCTCTCTACTAACCTCATTTCAACTCCAGGAGAAGCTACCGATGATCCACCTATAGCACCTCTCCCACACTCTACTGGATTTTTTTCCTTCCTGATGCTCTGAACTATTGGATGGCTTTGGCTTTAGGGGAAGAGTTTCTTGTTAATTCCAGCAATTCTACTCCTGTCCCATCATAAAATTAGCACATCTGCAGGCCACTCCCCTCAGAATCAGTCAAACACTTGGACACCAGAGTTGCCCATAACCAGTAGGAAGTGGAGAAGAATAAAAATTACATATGGTATCTGCTAGAAGACCAGGGTTCCTAGTCCTCTGGTGGCTCAAATGACAGGACCTTTGGGACTTTGGAGCTTTGCCAAAATGACGTCATTAGTATATCTATCAGGGTTTCCAGCCTCAGCCTCCCAGACCTGCCCTTAGCCTCTGAATTTTCAGGTTGATGCCCCCAAAGCTTCTCTTTGGACAGTGGGGATCTGCTATTCAGGTGGGGTGCTTAGCCCTGCTGGATCTCTACACAGCTGTTATTGTTCCCTGACTTTTCTGATGCTTCCTCTGCCTCACCATGAACGCCTTATAAACTCATTTGTGAGTCTCTTATATCCCTTTCTTGTGGCATATGTCAGTTTACAGCAGACCCATCACCAGGTGTCTGCAGATTGATTGAGTTGACAGCTTTCACACTCTTCCCCTCCCAGCTTATGCCCTATGCAAAGTATTTTATGGGCATTTTCCTGGAAGTCTCTTCTCTTCCAAGACCATCTCCTTCTCAGATTCTCTGTTGTCATTGGCTCCATCTTTCCCTCATGAGAAATCACTTTGAAAAGTTAAGTGTAGACTCCAGTATCCTTATCTATGACTTCTGGCCTAACCTTATTCTCTGAAATTGACCATAAATGTTGACCTAGTCATTCTCCCGAAGTCAATGGGCAGTGGAGTGGAGGTGACTTTTGATAATAACCACTAAAGTCTAGAAATGAAAATCATCATTACTGTTAAGTGTTACTATTTTTTTTCTGAGAAGCTTGGGAATTTTGTCTAATTCCCATTCTGAAATTTTTTCCTTTTTATTTAACTGATCTTATGTGAAACAAATACTACTAGTATTGGCAAATATTAATTGATTAAGTGCCTGGCACTATGCAAACTACCTCATACACTTACTTCTTTCAATGCCCCAAATAAAAGAACAAGTATCATTATGGTTTCAGATCAAAGGAAATCAGGATCTACAGAAATGAAGTAACTTACCTAAAATTCAGATGGTAAGAGGTGCTTAGAATTAAGAGCTTGTATTCTTTTAAACAAAAGCCTCACTAAAAGCAATCTGTTAGCAAAGAACGTCCTTCTACCTCCATCCCTTCAATCACACAGACCTGTCTTCCTTCAGAACTCTGCTCGACATGACCTCCTCTCCCAGACCTCAGTTAACCCGGTCTTGTCCTTCATTCCCTCTTCTTGGAATACTCCAATGCATCTGGGATCTGTTATCCTAGTTCATCTCACACCGCTCTTCACATGGTTCAGTTCCATGGAAATATTTTTTTCTTCTCAGCCCCTTGACTGTTTCAGGAGATGGGAAGCCCTTGAAAGCTGGGGACTTTTCTTGTCCAACTCCTCACAACACAAATGCACTCAGCACACAAGCAGGGCCTTGAAAGGAGCTGGCTGCATGGAGACTACGGTGCCTTTAATGATAATATGGTATTTTTTAATTTTTTATTGGAACAGGAAGGTTTAGGTGACTCACTGTTCAAAAACTGGGAGCGGTGACAGAATATGCTTTTGGGAGAAATATTTTGTCTTTGTTTTGGTTTTAGGGGTTAAAGTCATACATGTCTTGGTGGAATGAGTACAGCCCTTGCTGACCCAAGCAATAAGACTCCAAACAAGTGACACAGTAGTCCAGATAAGTCAATGGAGCCAATGGACCTTGGCAGACTGGCAATATAATAAGAATGAAAACAGTTGATATCTACTGAATGCTTACCATGCATCAGGCATAGTTAATGCACCATAGGTAATGAGCTCATTAATCACAAAGACATATGAGTTAGCTGCCACAGCTGGAATGCAATTAGCATGCAGGTTTCTCTTAAGGTCCAGTAAAGAGACTGGTGATTTTGTCACCATTCCCTCCCTCTTTCCGCATCTACAGGAGTCCTAGCTATGCCTTCTGCCTTCAGCATTTAGCCCTGTCTTACATCTGAGTATATCTAACCTTCCCACATATTTATAAACTCCTGGAAGCAACAGCTATTGACTCTTCTCATGGGGTGATTCTGTAACTTACACACAGAAGAGCTCAATAAAACAAAAAAAGAGCTCTTTTGAACTGAATGAAGACTTTAGGAGATCAAGTTGTTGTACAAAGACTAAAAATGCAAACATTTTACTATATTTCAAGTCTTATCTTTAACCATAAAGAAGTCACTTACATTTAAATTTGTGCAAGTTATGTTCTCTGGATTCATGATTTGAGAAAAAATGGATGCAGCTTTTGCTACCTGGTTCTGAAGGAAAACAAACAAACAAACAAAGTAAGTTATTACCCCAAATCATGAGTATTACTCTATCACAAAGATCATTAATGGAAGGCAGAATATGACTATTCACAAAGCCCCAGAGTATTCTGTAATCAAAAATAAATACTGTATAAACTATTTCATCCAATAGCATATAATTCTATGCTTTAACAACCTGCTTAAGTCAAATTTTTTAAGATAGCAACATTAGGTTAGAATTTTCTCTTGTCCCACTAGAGTTAGCTTTTAAATAAAACAAGAATGAGAAACACAAACACAAATCCTATCTCTGACATATAAACTTCAAACCAGAGAAGAGGTGGAAACACTTAGAGAACCCTGGAGAGGGAGCCTGGGAAGGTTTTTAAAGGATCTCACAAGGCCAACCTGAAGTGCACAACCTAAAATCATGTTTACAGTAAAGTCAACACAGTTCTAAACTAATGAGGGAAACTTCCTGGGTCCTTGTAGTGGCAGGTGAGCCAAGTCAAGGATTTCCACAGATAAGCCATGTTTGCAGGAAGCAGTGTGTGACTATGACAGCAGCACAAAAGAGACTGTCATTGAAAACCACCACAGTGCCTATTCTCATTGGCCAGGGAGAAGTAAACCTATACATACTTATAGGCAGAACTTTACATGTTATATAACATTAATAACATACATGTTATTAATTACTTTACCTAAACAAAAAGCCTGCTAGTCTAGAATAGGGTTCAGTGCCTGTTTCTTTGCCTCTCTCTTAAATGAACTTCCTGCAAATGGCTGTTCTAAGAGAAATTTGTATTTTTCAGTGATGAATAATCAAAAAAGATGTAGCACGTGAACTCCACAGAGACATTTTTTAAAAATGTTTTTAGTTGTAGATGGACACAATACCTTTATTTTGTTTATGTGTGAGGCAAGCGCTCCACCACTGAGCCACAACCCCAGCCCACACTGTGTTTTCCTTAAAGGAAGAAAGGAACACAGTAAAACAAAGATAAGAAAATAACTGGTAGATGAGGAAATTCCAATACAAGAATATTCCCAGGGATATCAAGGACACAAATGAGAAAATGAACAAGATCACATCAATCATAAGTGGAAAGAAATCAGGCAGACCTCAGATTTCTCCATGGCAATATTCCAAACCAGAAGACAAAAGAGCAATGCCTAAAATAATCTCAAGAAAAAGCAAGTGTCATCTCAAAAATTTAAACCTGGCCAAACTGTAAAGTACAAAAATAAAAGGCAAATAAAATAATTTTAAGGAAAGAGCTCAAGAGAATATTGCTCCTCTGAAAATATAGAAGAAAACACTTGAGCCAACAAAAAGAAGACTGGAAGAATAATAGCAAAGCAACTAGCAAGGAAGTTATTTAACTACATATAGAGGGCCAAGGCAAATGTAGGGAATATGGTTACAGAACAGACAGCAAATGTCATACACCAGGACAACAGGGCAATGGCAATACCAATAAAAAGAAGAAAAGGGAAAATGAAGATTAAAAAGTAAAGTATGCCATTTTCTTCTCTTTTATTACCTGTGGATCAAAAATATAATTTAAAGCTGATAAATATTTAAGAGAAAAGTGAACACCATGAAAGACAATGTATCAACTAAAATTAGATGGTAGTGAAGGACGAAAATAAGGAGAAAAAGAAAATATGCTAATGTCACCATCACTTATAGTGGGGAATTAATAGGTATTATCAAAGGAACTAGAGAATTAAGAAAATTCAATAAAGTTATAGCTTTAAGTAATCACTAGAGCAAAAATATAAAAAACACAGAAACAACCATATGGGATATTTTAAGTTAAAAAAATTTAAAGCACCAAATAAAGCACCTAAGATCATCTATATGTCATATAAATATAAATGGGTTAGGAAAGACCAGTACATATTATAAAGTTGAAATTTATGCAATGTACAAGAGATTATACTTAAAACAATTCAGAAAGAGTGGAAATCAAATAATGGGAAAATGTGTATATCAGGCATATGTAAACCTATTCAAAATAAAGAGAAATCCAAACAAGGAAAGAGCTATTAATATTGTACAAAGTTGAATTCAGGGCAAAAGCATTAAATACAACCAAGAAAGGCACTATATGAAAGTGAGCGATTCAAAAATATGACATGACAGTGGTGTTCATCTGTACTCTAAACAATGTAACCTACACAGACATAAAGGAAAAAAAGAGCTAAAAAAGAGATGAAATCATGTGCCTTAAACAATTCCCGTGAACAAAGAGGGAACAAGTGGATGCCGATTAAGTGAAGGACAAGTCTTTGTCCTTCAGTGATTTGTTTCCAGCAGCATATGGAAATGGAGCACAAGATATTCTGATTTCTAATTAGAAGTAAACAAGAGTTCTCAGCCGTATTGTACCAGCTGGATAAATAACCTGGTTTGGGTAGTATTTCTCTGCCATAAAATATCCTTAACTACATAGTAAACATACAAAATATTTTGTATTTTTAAGGTCTTGGAATAGGCGGGGCTCCTTAAGAGTGGCTAGTCCACTAGTGTTTCTCATTAGCTAGGATGAAAGTTACTAGAAACTTTCAATTTAAAGAAATTCAAAGCTGGGCCGGGGTTATGGCTCAGTGGTAGAGCGCTTACCTAGCATGCTTGAGGCACTGGGTTCATTCCCCAGCACCACATAAAAAATAAAAACAAATAAAATAAAGGTATTGTGCACATCTACAACTAAAAAAATATATATATATATATTTAAAAAAAGAAATCAAAGCTAAAGATATATATGTACATATACTTTTGTATGTATATACATAACATATACATATATATCTTTGCATGCAATTTGTCAGGTTGTATAGATTTTTTTATTAAGGATTTAAAAATGAACACACCATATAGGATTGAAGTATCTGATTTGATTAAAATTTTGTATATCACCAGATTTTTTAAAAAGTAAGTCAAATGCTAAATAACATAAAGTTGATTGTTATTATACTTTAAAAATTGAGTATACACACAATTACCTATTTATATGTGCTCATTTGTTATTCTCAAAAATAATGTGTGACTATGATGTAGTGAAAATAGATTTTACCAGCCACGGTTTCACTACTTTATAGTCAACTAAGTTTGTTCTTAATATTGGGAAGCATAAAGTATTTTGTAGAAGGGCCAAATCACAGAATAAAGGATAAAGTGAATTCGCCAACATTCCTAATATACAATGTTTATGCTTTCTTTAAAATTACTAAAAGATCAAAATCTCAGAAGTAGTTTGCTGCTAATATATACATATATTGTATAAAAATGTATATTCTGGTTTTCTTAAAAGCCTTGTTGTCTTTTCTACAGTGAACATTTTTATAAACTTGATTTAATAAAAATGTTAATTTTGGAAGTGAAGTTTTGTAAAAACTTTTTTCAGTCAAACAGCAATGACTTTACTTATAGACAGTAATAACAATTACACAAAAAGCCATACATCTTAATGCCTGTGTTCTGTTATTCTAAGAGTAATGTTTACTGTATGTTTTTACATTTTTTCTGCCGTTAACATGAATGTAATTTTAAGAACAGCAGGATGAGTTCTTTTTAAAAAGATACTTTGGACCACAGTTTTTTTTCCAGTTTAAAGCAATAACTTTAGTAGTTTCTTTCAAAGTTTAACATGCCCAATATGTCATCTTAAATCATTCTGAAATTTGCAGATTTCTTTAAAGGAAAATTGTTGTAGAGGTCATCTTGATGAAATTGTATTCTGAAGTTTTGTGAATGAGTTAAATATTAATAGTCTCACGTGTTTTACAAATAAGCTTTTTCATAAGGAAAATATTGACTTTGGGATTTGCTTTTCTCTGGGAGCTCAAGTATAAAAATAATTGTTTAAAATTGCCCCTTCTTTTATCACTGGGTTGGAAACAGGGATAAAACCTGTACAAATATTTTAAATAATTTGTCAGGATAACTGTATTAATATTGATACCCAAATTTCACAATACCACTTAGGAAAGCCTTTTTTTTTTAAACAAATTACAGTTTATGTTGTTCAGAGTCTTATTTGAGATGTGTTGCTTTATTTTTCAATTAAAAATGGTTTTCTCCTAAAAAAAGGAGTGGATATTCCAAGGTTCCAGCTCTTTGTCCTTCATTGACTCTGAGGTATGACTCAGGGAGGTGTCCTCTCTGGGTTTCAGATGCATTCATTTATCTGATGTAGGGGGAATGGGGGGTTGAGAATGGATGCTAAGCCTCAAATTAATAATAGTAATTGGGTCTAACTATGAAATCCCATTCTAGCAATGGGCTGTGACAGGAGTCCTCATTCATCTAAGGTGAATTCAGCTTTGGAGAGCATTAAATTAAACTGCTCTCTGAGAGCATTACATAATAAACTGACCATTTGCAATCTTTATTTTAATTAACTAAGAAAATTATCTCCAGAGTCTGGCATTCCTCTCTGGTTCTCCACAGGATCTTGGCCAACACATTCTAAATAGAAATGCATGTTAGGTCCTCAACTATAAATAAAAACATACTTTACAGGCATATGTATAGATTGCCATGGCAACAAAGGCATTGTTTTCTTTACAGGAACTTTTTCTTTACTTCACAGTCAGAAGGGTAAAAAATTAATTAAAATAAAAAATAAATGAAAGTAGGGAAGTCTTGCCCACTCCCAATTTACTTATGTGCACCCCAAATCTTACCTGGTTCAGAGCTAACGCCACTGCAAAGCAGGAGGCTCTCCTGGAAAGAACATCTCCTTTGATTAGGGCTTCTTCTCTTAATGTAGTACAGATTTTAAAAGACTCTGGGCTATTCTGTGAGGAGACAGGATTGCTTAATAAATGTCATGAACTTTTAACTTTAAAACTAATTAATGTGCTTAGCATTTCAGATATTCTTTTGTAAGTATTTCCCAGAGCCTACCTCAAGTCAATTAAAAAGCTAAGCTCCTCATACAGCAAATAATGGTCTTTGCAAACAGAACAGGTTACCTACATGTTCGCCTCTCAAATCTAGCTTAACTTTACTTTTCAAGCTGTTTGTCAACTTCTGACTTGAGGCATCCAGGTCTCTTTGTATCTGGACAAGCTAGTTTCCAGACAGCCTGCTACTCTACTAAATAGTATAGTAATGTTCAGTAACACTAGGAAACTTTTCTGGAAGGATTTCCAATCTGAAAATATCTATATAAGCTTAAATATTTAAAAACATCAACACTAATATGAAGATAAATTGTAAAAGAATCTCCTGAAAACAGAAACCTTAAAAAAATTCAAGAATGTGAGTGACCCACAAACCAGCAAGACAACAATGGTGAACCAAATCCCTTTCCACCCCGTGTCACGCTGCAGGTGGATGAAGCTTTCGAGAATAGCACCAGCTGTGCGTGTGTCCTCTGTCATGCCAGGACTTACCTTCCAATCCTCAAACAAGTCTGCATTTGATGAGAGGGCAGTTCTCAGAACTGACCTGGAATCTGCACTACCTGACCAGCTAGGTTTTCCAACTTATCTCTACTAAGTGAAACAAGTTATTCTTGGACACAATGCAAGAGAAAAGTCTTCTTGCTCTTCTTATGCATAAGAATTGAATTCTACCTCAGCATGCACACAGGAAAGTGTCTTTAAATTGGCCAGAAAATTGACTAACTGATGCTCCAGTGTTGTGTGTTTTGTTGGCCTTCTGCTCCAGAAGGATCATAGGATGGTGTGGTTGGGAAGAATGTGATCTAACCCAGGTGTAAGCAAATGATAGCCCTTGGGCTATATCCAGTCTACGGCAAAGAATGGTCTTTATATTGTTAAAGGCTTATAAAAATAAAAAACAAAGAATATGTGACAGAAATTATATGTGGCAGAAACTGTATGTTCCTCAAAGCCTCAAATACTTACTATTTGGCCTTTTACAGAAAAAGCTTGCTGACTGCTGAATCCAACCCGCTCTCATTTTATAAGTGAGGTACATGCATGCTCAGTTCAAAGACATAAGTCAGTTGATAAAAAACTGAGACTAGACTCCAAGTTTCTCAATTTCCCATTTGGTCTCATTTCCACTGTTAACCCACCTGCCTCTCTGTTTTGGAAAGCTGGTACTGCTATACTAGGGAGCTTTTCAAAGGCCCATGTTCTTCAGCCTTGCTTGGTGTTCTTTTGTTTTCAGTATAAAATGATTCTGTTATCCAAATATCCAAAGATTAAATGGCATGAATGACTAAAGTAATGTACTGAGGCTTGGTCATTTCACTATTTCAGTTATCAATCACTGAACAAATACTAAAGGAATAGTTTTTATGTATAAGAAACAATCCTGGTACAGTAATGACATAAGGACTTGTAAGCCAGGGCCCCCATCCTTAGAAAGCCTTTTGAATGCCATAAACATTTATTAAAGACATGTCAGATATTAGGTACAGTGTCAGATGCTGGGATACAAAGAAGCCTCAGGGATCTCCTGCTCTAGCGAGGAGAAAGAAATCTGGGCAAAATTAAGTACAAGTATGTGATATAAATAAAGCACAATTAGGGGATGTTTGGAGGAGATGTCACTTTAGTACTGGCGATCACAAAAACTTCACAGATGAGAGCAAGGTAGTTCTGGAGTTTGACACAGAAGGATGCTCTGATTTCAGAGAAAATGGCAACAGGAAAAACAGATCTAGTAGAGTCCAGCATATGAGACAACTCTAGAGCAGAGCTTGACCCTGACACAGTCTCTTGTCCTCACAATCTACACAATCTTCAGAGAAGAGAAAAAGATAATTAATTGCTTTTCCCATGATCAAACTGTCAGACAAGACTAACTTGAGTTTTCTAAAAATGAATACATTTAAAATTGAAATATTCTCACCAGATGGAAAACAGACTTCAGAGAAACTGAACTTTATTTGTAGAGAATAAAAATAAACCCCCTTTCAAACACTACCCACAATGCCCTGAAAGTTAAAAGGAAATAGTCTTACCAGTCTGTAGCAAATTGCAAACGCAAGGACATAGGTGTCTTTGGTGAACTTCACATCTTGGTTTTTCATCTCTATCAACACTTCCAAGGCATCTGCCAAAAGTGAGGAGTGGCCAGCAGTGTTAAATCCATCTACTGGTGGTGCCCAAAGCTCTAACTTGTTCAGCACCATCTACTGAATTCAGTAGAATAAAAGCTGTTCTAAAGTCATTCAGCAATTAGCTAAATGTCAAATGATCAGGTCATGTAGGAAGAACTAAAATTTTAAAAGCTGCCACAATTTTAGCATCAGCAAAATCTGAAATGTTTCATTCAAGGAATAACATGCAATGTAATGTTTTCAAACTTAAATAATGAGGTCTCCATAATTTAGCCCCTCATAAGGGTCGTTTTTGCATGGGCCATTCCCCCCCCCCATTGCTACATTACCAAAGACAACAGAATATTTCAGCAACAGGTGGTAGTACTTACTTTTATATTTGCCTTTGATAAATAACATATCCATCAAAATATTGAATGATGTGGAGTCTGAGAAGAAACCATGTAAATGCTAATGAAGAAAAACAATACAGTTTGATAAAAAGTTAAAACTATTAAAGAGGCATTTATACTGTATCTTCTCTATCCAAGTCTTATTCTTGCTGCATCTGGCCTCCTGAGATCTCTAATAATCTGAAATACCAAATATTTATTTTTTGAAAGAAGTTAAGCTGCTGCCCACTGTGTTGCCTTTGGGAATATGCACACTGAACAAGAGGCAAGAGCTCTCTGGGCTTCATAAATACAGTGAAGAACATCTGTATGAAATGTGGCTCTGAAGAAACAAACCAGTTAACCCCAGTAGGGTGGCCTTGGAACCTAGGTACCAACTATTAATACAATACAACAGCTATGAATATACTTGGGAAGTAAGACAGAAGAGTCTCACACAGCCATTGTCCTCAGTTCACAAATGGATAACTTTTCGAAAACAATTCACTAAACTAGTGGTTCTCAACATTTATTTCTCAACACTTTTTCATCTTGTATCTGTTTATTGTAATTGACTAAAATTGCATATATTTTTGCATATATTCCTGTGGACATGTGGCTTTGAAATATGTATACATTGTGGAACGGCCAAGTCAAGCTAAATAACATGTGCCTTGCTTCACATACTTAAAATTTTCTGTGGTGAGAACACTTAAAATCTATTCTCTTTGCAATCTGTAAGACTATAATATACTGTTATTAACTATTGTAATCATGTTATACAATATAGATCTATTCCTTCTGACTGAAACTGTGCATTATCCTTGAACCAATACCTCCCTGACATTTTCCCCAAATGAATGCCATGATAATGTGACAGGTGATATTCACATTATGTCATTAAATGCATTGCTTAAGTTTGTTCTTTTTTGAGAACCTACCCTGTTCTAGATGCTGAGAAAAGACAAATGCTAAATAATATGCATACCCTGTCCTAAACTCTACTTGGGTTTATAATTTACTAAAGCTCAATTCTGGTGAAGGAGAAAATGAACAAGTGAATACAAAAGAATTAGAAAACTATAATTTCAGGCATCAATAAAGGCTCTGAAGAACAATGATGCAGGATAAAAGAGATAGGAGAGGCGTAAAAACCAGAGAGGGACGACCTCTGAGAAGACAGCACAGTGGAAAATTAGGTCTTACACACTTCTTCTTTTTTTTTTTTTAATATTTTATTAGTTGTTGATGGACCTTTATTTATTTATATGTGGTGCTGAGAATCGATCCCAGTGCTTCACACATGCTAGGCAAGCACTCGACCATGGAGCCACAACCGCAGCCCTCACTTATTCTTAATTCTGTTCGTTCTACTCCAAAAAACTTACTTACACAGGAATTTTTCATAAATGAGTTTAAAAAAAACCTTTTTCTTTTTCACCATCATATTCACAACTTAATTATAATGAAACATTTGTCTTCCAGTAATTACAACAATAAAACATGCTTATTTAAAAAGTCAAACAATACAAAATTATATAAAATATGAAGTGAGAATTTTTAAAAATTCTAATATCAAAAATATACAGTATAGTTTCCTGAGTTTCAACAGCCACATAGTAAAATATACATATATGTATATATATTTTTTCTTCTTTTAAGAAAAAAAAATAAGATCAAACTATTGTACTGTTCTGAATCTACCTTTTGTCTGCTTACTCGTATTTTATGATCATCTGTCCAACATACAGGTGTCCTTAAGGCAGGACAAGCCTAGGGTTAAGAGTTCTACCACATACAGAACACTTTATATGAAAAAGAGAAAGAGGCAAAAGGACAAAGTAATTTGTTATAGAGGTTACTAAATATACTAAAATGTACACAGTGGCCAGTCCCAGCCCCCAAATTCAACAAATATTTCTGACCAAGGATGAATTTATAATGTCTCCAAGCTTCAGTCTCCTCATCACCTTATCAGATTTACTGTGGAAAACAATGAAATGAAATGTGTAAAGTGCAAAAGTACAATGTTGAGGATGCAGCAAATATTAAATAAATAATTGCAAAAAATAACTATTATTTTTATTTTTAGGAAAAGAATATCATAATATGTGAAAACATTTTGAAATGGGACAAGAATAGGGCCCAGAGGACCACACCTATAATCCCAGCAACTAGGGAGGCTCAGGCAGGAGGATCGCCAAGTTCAAGACCAGCCTCAGCAACTCAGTGAGGCCCAAAGCAACTTAGAGAGACTTTGCCTCAAAATAAAAAACGGTTGGGGACG